CTCTCCCCAACCCCAAGGACAGTCCCATTCTACAACAGTGGCATCATGTAATATTTGTCCTTTTGTGACTGGGATATTTCACTCAGCATAATGATGCTCACTAAGAGACCAGGCCTTCACTGTAAATAGTTGTGTTGTTGTGTCATCGAGTCAGCTGACTTTCCAGAGGGTTCTCAGAGACAGTAAATCACAAGGAGGAGATTGTCCATTATTCTGCAGAGCAAGCTGGTGGATTCAAACTGTGTGTCTTTGGGATTGCAGTGCAGTTTCTTACCACTAGGCCACATTACTCCAATATAAGATATAGTATAATTTTATACTATCTGTCCAAAAGAAATTAATAGACAGAAAATGAATAAAGATTTCTCAATTGAGAATGGAAAAAAATGGACAAAACAAGATTATTAGAGAAAATTAGAGAATTCTAAATTAATTTCAACTTTATGTCAGTATTAAGCCTTGGTATCTGTGTATCAAATGAAGAAGGAGGCAAACTTCATCAAATTTGGGAATTTAGATTTATTTTAACCTAAACAAAACAACCCAAACAACCAAACTCTTTGCTGTTGAATTGATTCCAATTTATAGAGACACTAAGGTATGTGGTTTGAATCTACCAGCTGCTCTGTGGGGGGAAAAGATGGGCAATCTTCTCCTATGTGATTATCTGTCTCTGAAAACCCACTGAAGGGTCAGCTTTGGGTTGGTTCCAACTTGATGGTACACAACAACATATCGAGTAGAACTTCCCGTAAGATTTCCGAGATCATGGCCTTTTGTTGTCTGTGGTTCAAATTCACCTTGAGGGAAAGAAGGGCAGTTGGTTTCCATTGATATTTATGGCCTTGGAAGACAATGGAGGGCTGTTGTGAGTTCGAGCAGCAGTGAGTTTGAGAGTATGAATCTTTTTTATTATTATTAATTTCAATCAAAGTCTACAAGACTTAGGGTTTCCAGTTTCCAGTCATTCATTGTTGCACTTTTCTCCCTGTCCCCCAATTCGCTCTTCTCTTTGAAAAGAAAAAGAAAAACTCTTTCATTGTTATACAATCCCTCCCCGCAAGTCCACTCCACTGTGCAGCCTCCATTCTGGACTCCTGTCATGACAATAATACCTAATTACATATCCCTTTTAAACAGTTCTCTACCTCATCTGTTTCAATGCAGTATACATAACTTATACCATCTTTCTCAGACTTCAGCCCCATTTTACAACAGTGGCACGATGCAGTATTTGTCCTTTTGTGACTGAGATAATTCACTCAGCATAATGTCCTCCATGGTCACCCATTTTGTATAATATTTCATGAGTTCCTTGTTTTTCAATGCAGTGTAGTATTCCATTGTGTGAATATACCACGGCTTCTCTATGCATTCATTTGTTGATGGGCACTTAGGCTGTTTCCAATTCCTTGCTATTGTGAACAAAGCTGTGATGAACATGGATGTGCACATATCTGCTTGGGTGGCAGTTATGGTTTCTTTAGAGTATATTTCCAGTAGTGGAATTGCTGGGTCAAATGGTATCTCTGTTTGCAATTTTTGAGAAAGCACCATACAGCCTTCCATAGTGGTTGCACCATTCTACACTTCCACTAACAGTGAATAAGGGTTCCAGTTTCTCCACAACCTCACCAGCATTTTTTGTTTGCTGTTCTGTTAAATTTTGTTATTCTTACTGGGGTGAGATGATATCTCATAGTTGTATTGATTTGCATCACTCTTAGAGCTAAGGATTTTGACTATTTCTTCATGTGCTTGTTAGCCATCTGAATTTTGTCTTTGGTGAAGTGCCTGTTCATATCCTGTGCCCATTTTTCTATTGGATTGTTTACCTTTATCTTGTTGTGGTGCTTGAGTATTTTATAAATTCTAGATATAAGTCCCTTATCTGACATGTCATTACCAAATATTTTTGTCCAGTCTGTGGCTTTCCTTTTTACCCTGTTGGAGAAGTTTTTGGATGTGCATAGGGATTTGATTCTTAGAAGGTCCCATTCATCTCTTTTATGCTTTCCTGGTTGTAGATTTTCCAGGATGCTTGGAAGACTGTTTATATTGTGGATTAGGACTTCTAGAGAGTTCTTCTGAGATTTTCTTTGTTGTTGTTGTTATGTGCCGTCGAGTCATTTGCAACTCATAGTGACCCT